CAAAAATTCTACTTAAGTACAGTAACAAAGTATTTGTACTTAGTTACTTTACAACTCTGGTGTCAAAGTTGATAAAAACAGAAAGTTGACTCGTTCGTCTCCTCCATCAGGCCGAGGAGTTCCGTACGGCAGTGCAGGTGCTCCTGGARTGGCTCTCGGAGGCGGAGCAGTCTCTCCGTTTCCGTGGCGTCCTCCCCGAGGAGGCGGAGACTCTGCAGGCGCTGCTGCACACGCACCGAGGCTTCATGGGCACCGTGGAGGAGAAGAGGGGAGACGTGAACAAGGCCGCTGGCATGGGGGAGGGCATCCTGACKGTGTGCCACCCGGACTCCATCACCACCATCAAACACTGGATCACCATCATCAGGGCGCGCTTCGAGGAGGTGAGGAGGGGGCGTGGCCTCGGCCGGTCCGCTCCCAGCGCTCTCTCTAACTCTTTGTSCTACAGGTGCTGACGTGGGCCAAGCAGCATGAGCAGCGGCTGGAGACGGCTCTGACGGAGGTGCTGAACAACGCCAACCTGCTGGAGGAGCTGCTGTCCTGGCTGCAGTGGGCCGAGACCACCTTGGTCCAGAGAGACACGGAGCCGCTACCTCAGGACATCTCACAGCTGAAAACCCTCATCACCGAGCACCAGGTGGGCTCTGCATGCCCCCGGCCCCCAGGACTGTAAGTCTGGTTTATTTACAGCGGGTGTTGGTTCCCTGCAGGTGTTCATGGAGGAGATGACCAGGAAGCAGCCGGACGTGGACAAAGTGACTAAAACCTACAAGAGGAAACCAGCTGAAGCTCCCAGCAGCCTGGCCGACAGRAGAGGAGCACGTATGTCTCTGCTCAGTAAACTAACTGTAGCTTTCAGCTCGTGTCCTCATGTCTGCTCTGAACCACCTGCAGGCAAACAGCAGCAGYAGCAAACGCAGGCAGCCATGCAGGTTTCTGGAGGAAACCCTCGGCTCGTCCAGCTCTGCGCCCGCTGGCAGCAGGTGTGGCTGCTGGCCCTCGACCGCCAGCGGAAACTCAACGACGCTCTGGACCGGCAGGAGGAGGTGACGCTCAGAGCTCCACCTGCTGATGAACCTCTTTATTAACCTGATCTGATCTGGAGTTAAATATTTAATCCGTCCGCAGCTGAAAGAGTTCGCCAACTTCGACTTTGACGTGTGGAGGAAGAAGTACATGCGTTGGATGAACCACAAGAAGTCCCGAGTCATGGACTTCTTCAGACGCATCGACAAGGACCAGGACGGAAAGATCACTCGGCAGGAGTTCATTGACGGCATCCTGGCTTCAAGTATGACTTCTATATCAGCYGAAATACAGAGAGATGACCACCGAAGTTGGTACAGCCGTAATAAAGTCAAGTTGATCAGAACAACAGACAAAACAACAGCTAAACCCAGCAAAAAAAAAAGACAAAAACTAGCAAAACAATTTCTAAAACCAAAAAAACAGAATAAGATAGGTTAAAACTAGCAAAATAATAGCTGAAACAGCAAAAAATTGGTTAAAACTAGCAAAACAATGGCTAAAACAGCTAAATTTAGGTGAAAATCAGCAATACAATGACTATAACTAGCGAAACAATGACTAAAACTAGCAAAACACAGGCTAAAGACAGCATAAGATAGGTTAAAACTAGCAAAACAATAGCTAAAACCAGCAAAACACTGGCTAAAACTAGCAAAACACTGGCTAAAACCAGCAAAACAATGGCTAAAACCAGCAAAACAATGGCTAAAACTAGCAAAACACTGGCTAAAACTAGCAAAACACCGGCTAAAGACAGCACAAGATAGGTTAAAACTAGCAAAACAATAGCTAAAACCAGCAAACCACTAGCTAAAACTAGCAAAACAATGGCTAAAACCAGCAAAAGATAGGCTAAAACCAGCAAAAGCTAGGCCAAAACTTGCAAAACACTGGCTAAAACTAGAAAAACAATGGCTAAAACCAGCAAAACACTGGCTAAAACCAGCAAAACAATGGCTAAAACCAGCAAAAGATAGGTTAAAACTAGCAAAACATATGCTAAAACCAGCATAACAATGGCTAAAAACAGCAAAAGATAGGCTAAAACCAGCAAAAGATAGGCTAAAAACAGCAAAAYAMYAGCTAAAAACAGCAAAAGAAATGGTAAAATTAGCAAAACAATTGCTAAAACTAGCAATTAAACAAATGCTAACGAGCTTGTCGTCCGCTCCTCTCCGAGCAGAGTTTCCCACCAGCAGGCTGGAGATGTCGGCGGTGGCGGACATCTTTGACCGAGACGGCGACGGTTACATCGATTACTATGAGTTCGTGGCGGCGCTTCACCCCAACAAGGACGCCTACAGGCCGACCACCGACGCCGACAAGATCGAGGACGAGGTGAGGGGGCGGGTCCAGAGAAAGAAACAAACAAAGGGGGCGGGTCCAGAGAAACAAACAAACAAAGGGGGCGGGTCCAGAGAAACAAACAAACAAAGAAAGAAAGATGGAGCTGATTGTTGTTTGTTGTCTTCAGGTCACTCGGCAGGTGGCTCAGTGTAAATGTGCCAAGAGGTTCCAGGTGGAGCAGATCGGAGAAAACAAATACAGGGTGAGTTTAGCAAAACATAAATATTATTAACTTTGATAAAAATCTGAGTCAAACTGGATTCTAGACGTGCAGCTTAAATAAAAAATAATTAAGATTTTAAAGCAAATATTGAGTTATTGTAATGAAAATGTGCTAATTTTTTACAGTAATTGTTTTTATGKCTCTGTTCAGCCACAAACTGTATTTAAAATAAAATTTTAATCTCAGTCCGTGTCTTTTTTAGGAAAACTTCGTGTTTTTTTCTTTAAACTTTGTTGTAGATAAAACGAGTGAATCCGTTTTGAATCCATTTTGACTCAGTTTGAAATAATAATAAAAATAATAATTATAATAATAATAATAATAACTGTTAATGAATCCTAACAGGCTGCACTTCAGGCTTTTAATCCATTTTGACTCAGTTTGAAATAATAATAAAAATAATAATAATAATAATAATAATAATAACTGTTAATGAATCCTAACAGGCTGCACTTCAGGCTTTTAATAACTCAACTTTGTTTTGTTCTTCATGTTTGTTTGTTTATTTAATCTCACATTAATATGTTTATAACATCRGCTTTATTTTATTCATCTTTCTGCTGCAGGTGTAGCTTTAATTAGTAAATTGTTTTTGAGTTTTCCGGTGGTATTACAGCTCATATTWATTTTTATTTTAATGTTTTTATCCTTGATTCAGTTTTTAATTTGAGAAAATACAGAACAGTTCTCAGTTTGTGAGTCAGATTAGATCTTTTCTTTTAAAAGTCTCATTTTTGAGGCCTAACTTTAGTTTTTCTGCAGTTACAGATCAGCTGGTTTGTTTTTGTTTCAGGATTTTTATAAAACCAACAGAYTGCTGCTGTTTTCTTCTGGTTTGTGCTTCTAACAAAGCTAAAAGTTACAGAAGAGCTTTAACTCTTCGTCTGCTGGATTAACAGTTTCTGCAGCGTTTACAGGGTCACTGCTTCACTGCATCACCCTCCTCCTCTTCCTCCTCCTGCTGATGTCACAGGTCACTGGAGACACTTCCTGTTTGCTGCCTGTGTCCATCCTCTAACACACACGCACACACACACACACACACACACACACACACAGGAAGATGTTGTGATGATTTGTGTTTCATTTCTCGTTCTGTTTCTTTCTCCTTGTGTCCGTCCGCTCCGTCTCTGCTGGATTTTTGTAGTTCTTCCTCGGAAACCAGGTAAAGTGACTGTGGGTGGACTGTGGGTGGACTGTGGGTGCACTGTGGGTGGACTGTGGGTGGACTGTGGGTGGACCGTGGACGGACGCGTGGAGGCCGCTCCCTCGCTCCCCCCACAGAGGGCGCTGCTGTGCTCACAAACACCACCCGCCTGAATTAAAGGAAACTTCGAGCGGCAGCGGCGCTCCTCTGTGGAAGCGAGTGAGCGGGTTCCACCGCCCTCTTGTGCTCATGTTTTGATTTGTTTGTGTCGGTGACAAATGATCAGGTGTGGGTTAGTGGTGAGGAGATGAGTCCAGGAGACTCCTCTGTGCTGGTTTGGCTGTGGGATGTGCTTCGCTGGGTGATTTAAACACTGTTTTAAAAGAGGAGACCTTCGGTGTAGAAGATGAAGTAGCTTTGGGGAGTCGGCATGATTTGTTTTGTTTTTTTTTTCTGCATGACTCAGATTCAGATTTGGGTTTTCTGAGTTCTGATCGTGACTCGTCTGAAATGTTTTCAGTTTGGCGACTCTCAGCAGCTGCGTCTGGTCAGGATCCTGCGCAGCACGGTGATGGTGAGGGTTGGAGGAGGGTGGATGGCTCTGGACGAGTTCCTGGTTAAGAACGACCCCTGCAGAGGTGAGTGCCGCCCGCGGGCCGGGCTCAGAACACACACAGGTGTTTGTTACAATGTTCTGATGAACATTTGGGCTCGTTTGGGCTTGAAGTTTATAAAAACCAGAACAAAATGAAAGCCAGTCCTCCTGCAGTGTTTCCAGATCTTCCTCCTCAGGGTGAGGGCTACAGACACAGATATATAAAGGCTAGATAAGTCGTCCCCGCTGTTGGCCAGTGGAGACACATGTCCTCAGACGGCGGCCATCTTGGCACAGGCAGCTCGCCCACTCTGAACATGAACGTGTGTGGTGTGTTTACTGTTTAAATAACCAGAACTTGATCCATTTTGATCCAATTTTCAAACAGATTTTTTTGTTATAAAGATGAGACATGTTATAAAACTGCATACTTATAATGGACATTCATAAAATAATTACGTTATTTTGATAGGCAAAGTAATATCAATATATACACAAAATACGTTTAGATTACTTTTACATGTATTGAAAAATAGAAATACAAATCAAAATTATACACAAGTCTATAAAAATAGTACAAAATAGTACTAGCAGTGGTAATTAATATGAAAGAACCCTGTTTTATATTTTTATGTTTTACACTAGACATGCAAATATTAGCCTTTAAAATTCTTTTACATTATAAAATAGTGCCTTATAGTGAGCAAGTCAATTTTCTACCCATTTTAAAACGGTTCTGTTTGGGGTAAATGTGAGAGATGTTATAATACTTAAACTGGACGTCCACATGGAACTAACACTGCAGATACTGTAGGTGTAGCAACTGCAATATACACGATAAGATTATATTAACATGTATTTAGAAATGGATGTTTATATACTGAAAAATTAACTGACATATATTTGAATGCTGATAAATAATATAGTAATAATATTTCATAATTAATAGTAGGGTAATATGAATTAATTTATGCCCAGTTTTTTTCCCACACATGCAAATATTATGATGTGCCTCTATAACTAATATTAGTTCTAACTAATACTAATATTTTTAAAAAAAGAAAAACTGCTGTCTGATTACTCCAAATCATAGCCACATTTATAACACTTATAATAAACTAAGCCGTTTGTAAATCCTTCAAGATTTCAGTGAATTATGCACATTTTTGTCAGTGTAAATCACTCACTCGATGCATTCACCACAGCTACAGCTAGTGTTGCTGACTGTCCTAAGATGGCTGCCGTGTGAGGACGCCAGAGACTCTGCTATGACTGATCTAGCATATATAT